TAAGATCAGCACATGCGCAGACAGACCAACACAATCTCACGGCAATTCGTAACTTTTTCATTTAGTGGCTAATTCGTATGAATTCGTACAATCTAATTCGTACAATTTAGTACGATTTGCTTACCCCCCAATGACGGTTGGGGTTAGGGGTGGGGTCAGGTGCCACGCCTCCTTTTTAAAATCTTACCATTTCGTACGACTGAACTCGTACGAATTCGTACGAATTAGCCACTAAACTGGCAAAACGTAAAATACTTACGTTTTCTCGTGAGATCAGGCTGGACAGACACACAAGTGAGATGTTTTATGCATGTATGTTATAATGGTTAATCAAAAAAGCATGTGTTTTGTGTGTCATGTCCTTTGATAAAGTTGCCATTTTCCTTGTGTGTTTTTTAGGTTATTGCTAATCTTAGAAGAACTAACGTTATTATTTTTTTACTCAGTTGTGGTGTTTTATATGCTTATTGAACATTGATATTGTTGTAATGCCATCTGAGAAGTAGAAACTCTTTAACTATTAGTAAATAACACTTGATATAAAGTTGAGATGACTTATTTGACCTAAGTTAAGTTTTACATTAGTACTATTAGGAATTATTGTTTGGGAAAGATCAGCTTGGACATTTGGTTTTAAAATCTACTTACAAAATTAAGGAAGGCATGTTCAAAAACACATAAAGATGATGATTATGCTTTCATATTATGTTGAAATTTAAACTCTAAAATCTAACTTATGACATAGAGTGGGGAAAATACGTATTGAGCATGTCACCATTTTTTCAGAAATATATTTCTAAAGGTGCTGTTGACTTAAAATTTTCCCTGCATGTTGGTAACAATCAAAGAAATACATATATGCAAAGAAAACAAATCTAAGTTATGTGTAATAAAATTAAATGACACAGGGGAAAAGTATTAAACACATGAAGAAGGGGAGGTGCAAAGGCAGTGAAAGCCCAGACAGAGCTGAAATCTCTCCGTAGTTCTTCAGCAAGCCTCTCAGTCCAACATCTACATTAGCAGGATGATGAAGATGAAACCACCAGGGTGGACATTTTAGCAAGACGAGGATCCAAAACACAGCCAGGGAAAAGCCAGAGAAAAAAAAATCAAGCTGTAGAATGGCCTAGCCAATCACCTGAATTAAATCCTATAGAAAATACAAAATAAGGATCAGATAGGATAGACGAGACCCACAGAACCATCAAGATTTTTACACTCTACTGAATTCTGTGAAAGATTCACATCTGAGCTATTCATGAGACAGAACTCATCTTTCTGATTTTTTTTTTTGTTTTGTTTGGGATTTTTACCAAAATCTGGTTCAGTTCCATGTCAACAGCTCCTTTAGAAATATTATACACAGGAAAAAACATGATGTGTTCAATACTTAATTTCCCTGCTGAATACTTAGTGTATATATTCATTTTTGTTAGAATATGACTTTAATAAAAGCTTCTATTTTAGCTTACATATACATTCAGTTTAGTGTATTTTGTTCAACATTTTTTGTGTAACTTAAATGATCACAAGAAATCTTTCCCTTGACAAATAGCTAAAAATTACTTTTTGCTCCCCTTTTAGACCCTACTCTGCGCTCAAATTCTATATTCGGTTGTCTACAGTTTGACACTGGAAGAGCGGATACAGCATGTGGCTTTATAAAATAAATAAATAAATAATGGTCAGAGCTTTTAGACTTCCAGTCTAGGAGAATGAACTCATACAACCTCCAAGTGGCCACATTCACAAGATTATTAAGTGGACTAAAGAACGCGGCTGTTTTAAATGGAAAATCTCTGCTGATGCCAAATACCCGACTCCTGCTTGACATTTCTGAACACCACATTTTTTAAATGACAAAGGAAAAATTACACTCTGTCCACTTTAATGTTCCAGTGTCAATAGGCGAATAATGAGCTTCTCACAAGCAAAACTAGGGTCTAATGACATAATGAGAGAGACCTGGGTGGCTGGAAAGCTCTGCAGCTTCAGCTCATTGATGCGGTTGACATGAGGCGCCATTTTCTGTTTTGACATCTATCAACTCCAAGAACGAACACGTTCATTTTGTAAACATTTTTTCTTTCCAATGTTCACTTGGGGAAAAAAGAGAAAATTATGAGCATTTTTTTCTTTAAAGCCTCTTTTTTATTATTAGGTACATTTTAGGTAAATACTTTTTAATCTTTTAATGTGTATTGACCATTCATTTACGCATTTTAACATTACACATTACATTATGTTTCTGGAAATCCCAATATTTATATATATAGATATGTATAATGTTTATATATAGATATGCAAACTTGTTTTTTTTGAAAGAGTTAGGAAATGACCATAGTAAAACCAGCAATCTGGAGAGATATACTGCATATAGTTTTCAAATTTGATATGAAATGTGTAATTTCCAAAACATGTTTTACTGCAAATCTACAACAGATAAGTAAATAAATAAGAGATTTTGCCTTGTATTTCCACTAGAAAATAGGTTTCCATTCATTTCCAAAGTCATAACTTTTGTAAATGTTGTCATTAATTATTGTAAATTATATATATATATATATATATATATATATATATATATATATATATATATATATATATATATATATATATATATATATATATACATATATATATATATATATATATATATATATATATATATTTTTTTTTTTTTTTTTTTTTTTGTAAAGTCCATTAGTCCAAATGTCCTAAATGTATTTATTTTGTATTGGTTTAACTGTGGTTAATTGTTCACTTGAGCAAAAAATAAAAATTCAAAAAATTTGTCGGTGGATTAATTGATTGATTGATTGATTGATTGATTGATTGATTGATTGATTGATTGATTGATTGAGTTTGATTTCATTGAATCATGTTGCTTTGATGTGTATTCATGTGAATCGATGCGTATTAAAGTCCGGTCCAGAGATCTTTGCTTTAAAAGCACATGTCACTTCTGTGTTGAACATCCCATTTTCTCTTGCCGTCTTTAATTTCGCCATGTAAAAATATTGCTGTTAGTCAGAATCCAAGCCACAAGTGTGGAGCCACTATAGTTTGCCAGGCTGAAGAAAGTAAAGCAAACACAGACACCTGTCTTCAATCTGCAAAAACCTGGTTTAGTGGAACATTTAATAGTATGTTCAAGGTCAGACCTGAGAGAGAAGGAAAAAAACTAATTCGCAAAAGCTGAATCAGTCTTCATCTTTGTTAGGGTATTACTGACTTAGTATTTAATGCATTATAACTGTAATAAATAAGCACATGTTTGCAGTTGCTCCAAAATAGTTTGTAAAGTAGGTTAATAACCTACACCTTTAATTATCCTACACAATAGACCATTTTAATGTGGTCATATCATTGGCCCATGGCATGAACATTTACTGCTAGTTATGAAACTAAATCATAACTGCAACAAGAGGCGTTTCAACAATAATTTAATGTTAAAAGAGCTGTCATAACATTATTTATCAATATGTGGATTCTTTTTGGATTCTCTAGAAATTAAAAATGTAAAACAGAAAATACGTTGGGACCATTATTTTTGTTTACATCCCTCAACATGCTCCATCCCCAGCTCGTTCCTGCTGCACCAATCACCATTCCCCTCACCATCTCGTTCCCTCAGCACCAATAACCGCTCTCCCTCTCCAGCCACCTCTCATCACACCCGTGCACAATCACCTGAGCTCTAATGAGACACACCTGCACTAGCAAACACAGTCCCCTATGAAGACTTACCGGTTCCAGTCATTCATCAGCTGCAAATAAAGTCAAATGGTTTACTTTACCTTCTCCCTTGCTTGCCTTTCTTCTGTGGATGTTTCTCCTAACCTGTAAATGTTTCTCCTAACCTGTAAATGCACGTTCTGTGATTAAGGAAAGTGACTTTATAAGAACTTGTTTACATTGTGAACAACTTGTACGTCTGCTCTCCATCCATGATTATGACTTACCTGCTTCTCCTTTTGAACTATTCATTGTGTTTTGAATAAATTGATGAAAAGAGATAACCATCCTTGTCTTCATTGTGTGACCGTGACACTATCTAAATATTGATTTTTTATATTTTTTCTATACATTTTAAGCTTTAATTTTTTTAAATGCTGCTTGTGAAATTACATCACTGTCAACATTTTTCTGAAGTATGTTTTGGCAATTACCCATATTAGTTTTTGGGACTTAATCTTGATATTTTATGCATCTAGCTACACTTATTGACAAACCATTGAAGCATGAGTCCTTGATTACTGTTTTTTTTTTTTTTTTTCCAGTTAAAGGAGCGCTTATGCAAGTTAAATGAATATATTTTGTGTTAAAACTCTTTTAGTCTAATATTTTTATTTTAGTGTCATAAATTTGGACTTTTTGAGCAATCTTGAGTTATAAATTAAGTAATTAGAAGTCACTAATAATTAATAATTTATATAAAAAATACATGACTGTTTTATAAAATAACTGTTAGTATAGCTAGACAGTGTTGGGGAAAGTTATTATTAAATACAATTAAATACCTAAAAATAACTTAATTGCTCAAGTAATCCAATCCAACTCTAATTAAAAAATGCAGAAGTTTCAACTAAAGAGACTAAAACTTAAATCTTTAAATGTGAGTCAAATGTGACTTTTCAGCTATGTTAAAAATAATGTAATGCGTAAGAAGTTAATCATATATCAAAACAGTTATTTTAAAAAAAACTAAGCAATGCCACCATATTTCATACAAAACATGTTAGCCCTAATGCAATTTCTTAGCATTAGCTAAATTCTTACTAGCTTGTTTAGTTGATTTACTCTGCTTCTCTGAACTGATTTATCCAGAACAGTAGAATGTATTTAAATTATTTAGGGCAAGTACATTTATAATTAACAGTAGCCAAATTAAATTACCTGAAGATGAAAACGAATGACTTGGAGATATATGTGGATTTAATTACAGTAATTTTAATTACAATCAACACTGGACGCAGATGTCGAGTGCATTATGAGGGTTAACAACACCTTTATTTCATCGCATTAACACATGTTTTTATGGCTTAAAACATCTTCATCTTGGTGTATCTCACATACTGATAAGTGATTCACACTCACCTTACAGCAGTGATCTTCATCGGGGAGGGGTTATTTAGTCTCCCGCATATACCGTCAGATTCACACTGAACTGAAGCTGCTGATCCGAGCGCGCGCTTCTGCTGCTGGAATAAAACACCTAGAAATCCACCGAACTAAAAATCTGCAATGCCTCATTAAAATCCAGATTCTTATGGAGAACTAGTTTTTTTCATATGTTGGACGTGGTTCATTACTTTTTTCCTCAGACTGAACTAAAAATAACCAGGCGCTCGGATGGAATCTTTGGATACGAGGATGCACCATTTTCCTTCTGCGTTCATCTCAACCAATAATGTAATATTTTATGCTTAAAACAGCAATTTCTATATTTTTATTAAGGTTAAACTAGAATATCCTTTCATATACACAATTATTCAACTCAATTTGTAACTTTTGCGCACACAGGCGATCCTCATGGAAATTATGCTTTAATGGAAATCCGATAATGACGGTAAGCAGAAGCGTTTGCTCTTCACCGACCTGAGTTATGTCAAGTGACTGAGGTAAAGTTGGTTTTAGTCGCACATTCCGACTTTATCCTTGATATAATTTTTTACTAAAAGTATTTTTTTTCCTAATGCCAAATAGAGAAATCATTTAAGCGGCCAATAACTATCAACTTACAACATTGTTCAGTCAGTTAAATAGTGCTAATGTTGTTTTGAAGTTATACCTGCATCCTATTTCTGACTGGATATTTAAAGTTACATGGTAAACATTATAGAGAGCACAAGTTATCACTGAACGAACGTGTGAATCTAAAACCAACTTTACCTCAATTTCAAGTGTCACAGCAGGAATCAAGAGGAACTATGCAAATATTTATGTGTTTCCTGGATCAGTGCTTTATAATGCATCCATGTAATTAGCTAAATATGGCTCAGTATGACTCACTGTAGCATGATTAAAGAAAGATGTTTACCAGAAATAATATTGAGAGGTCAAAGGCAGGAGAAGGAACCTTGAGGAATGTTTTAAATGATTTGTGGCTGTCAGGAGCCCCTGTCCGAACATGCCTGCTTCTTTCACATGTAAGATTTTTGGTGTGGCCCTAAATAGTTCTTGGCTTTTTAAATTTTAAATGTTTGTGTGTGGAGAGATGGATAGACAGACAGACAGACAGATCGATAGATAGATAGATAGATAGATAGATAGACAGACAGACAGACAGACAGACAGACAGACAGATAGATAGATAGATACACTGTAAACGATTTCTTGTTAAATTAACAGTAAGTTACTGGCAACAATTATCCAGTAGCTGCTGTATTTCATAAAACAGTAACATTACTGTAATACTAATTACTTTAGTATTAGATTTACTGTAAAATGTAATACATCATTTTACTGTTTTCTTTTTATACTGTAACACCAATTACAGTAGTAATACACATACTGCAAAACTGAAAACAGTATTTTACTGTACATTTTTACCATGCAGAATGTATTTTAACGTTACTTTCATTATTACTGTATAGTATTTTACAGTTATTAAATGTTATTTTATTGTATTTAACAGTGCTACTTTATAATGAGCAAAAAAAGTTCAAAAATTGCACAAATGTTATTTTAGCTGTTCAAGAAATACAAGAAAAATAAAGAAACTGAAACTTTAACTTCACAATAAAAGTTTATTGTGTAAACCCTACTGAAACAGTAGCAATTATTCAATATAACACAGCAACAGAACACTAATGAAAAATTGATCAGTAAAACCAGTCAACAATTAATGCATCAAAAAGTATTACAATTTTAAAAACAGATGAAAATACTGCTACAAGACACGAAATGATGAAGGCCAAATGATGTTGTGGAAAAGGGACAGTGAAAAAGGGCAGGAGCACTTCTGATGATCCTGCAAAAACGACAAGCAAAATCAATCACTGGAGTAAAAACTAATCATGCCTCAAATTATTTAATTCATTCAGAAACCAAACACCGCACTGCTGTTTTATATATATATAAGACACTGTTTTTTTATCGTTTTTGTTGGCAAAATACAGATTGTTGTCTATTTACAATTACACTAACGTTAATGGGGAAAAGATCAGTCAAGTCAACACTAGTCAAGTGTCCACACAGGTATGTAAAAAATAAAGTCTCATCTTAACCTAATGTCTGACTCTGTATAGCTTGAATATCTGATTCCATGACCACACTAGCGCTTCCATGAATTTAATAGGGGTGAACACAGTTCATTCTGACCTTAAGAGGCTACATATTAAAAATAAATAAATAAATAAAATAATCTAAGTTAACGTGACTAATGTTAATCAAGTACTTTTAGGCTTTTAACATGTGAAAATCTACTTCTAACTTACAGACAAGATTACATTAGAGAACATGAAAGCCGTGGGTGATTTAAAAAAAAAAAAATAATGCTAATGATAAGTTACTGACATTTGGTTCGCATAAAAAAAAGTAATCACTAAGCATTCATTTTTGGCAAAATCTGCCGAAAGGCACAGCAACACGATCAAATGTTTTAAAGTTGAGCAAAGAAATGAAGAGTAGTCAAGCAGTCTACTTCATGAAATGTTTGTGATAATATTTTGCGGTCAATTAGTATTACTGTATTTCAATATGCAGTGATGGCATGTCAGTGAGACAAATAAATATTAATACACCTCACCAGTGACATTTCCTCAAATTAAATCATCATAACGTTACTGTGCACAGCATCAGTAAAACGTTAAGAATAATTTAAATACCAAATTTTAAAACAGTCACTGCTAATTACAAACTAAAATTAAAGATAGGCTTACAGAAATCCTGAATGCATGATAATATGAAGATTTATTACTCACTGATGTCGAAGCACTTCGTCAGAGATGTAGACAGGACAGAATATGTGCCATCAAATGAGCTCTTGTGCAGCCTTTGTTGGACATCAAGGTAGTATGTTCACCCACACTGTAAAAAAAAAAAAATCTGTTATTTTACATGTTTTTTTTCCCCAGAAGCTAGGGTAATAGAGTCATTTGGTTAAGTGGTTTAAAATAATTTTATTTATTAAATACTTGCTTACCCATATATAGATGTAAAAGTAACCAAAATAAATAATTCATTAAAATGTGTGGGATACTAAGCATGTTTGGTCTACAGAGAGAAGTAAACATTTACTTTAAGCATTGATCCTAATGAATTTATTTCTGAACTACATCCAACCTCACCTCTGAAACAGCATTTTTGAGCATTTAGATCAGGGGTGCTCAACCCTGTTCCTGGAGATCTACCTTTCCGCAGAGCTTACCTGCAACCTTGATCAAGAACACCTGTCTTTATTTACCAAGTGCTCCTTCAGATACTATTTAGTTTGTTTAGTTGCGTTTGATCAGGGTTGGAGCTAAACTCTGCAGAAAGGTCGATCTCTAGGAACAGGGTTGAGCACCCCTGTTTAAGACAATAAAAAATAAGACATCTAGATGATATTATATATTCAATCATTTGTGAAATTTAAATGACTTATATTCAGTATACATAACATAAAATTAGAATAAGAATAAAAAAATAATACTCTATGCCAAATAAAATACTTCAGATCTAAATAAAGCAGGTGTTTTTACCTAAAGGTTCCTTTCCTCCAGTTAGTTTAGTTGCAGATCCCTCCACATCTGTGCTTTATTTGGTTCTTGACTTAAGAGTAACTGGTGTCACATTCCAGGTCCATCACAATCTGAGCTAGAAAGACAATATGGCAAAAGACAAGACACATTTAAATAAGTCTCAGAATAAAATATTTAAAAGGATAGTTTACTTTTCTGCCACCATTACTCCATGTGTTTTAAATCCATTTAAATTTATGTTGAACACTAAAGCAGATATTTTGAAGAATGTTAGAAACCAGTAACTATTGACTTCCATATTTGAACCAAATTTCTTAAAAAAAAATACGAGTTTGTGTTCAATGGAACAAAAAAAAAAAATCTAACTATTTTGAAACAAGTGGAGGATGCCAAAGATGCCATTATTTTCATTTTTGGGTGAACTGTCCCTTCAATTCAAGTGTCACGCATTACTCATAAAAACTGATGTATCGCTTGAGGAAAACTAAATCAAGTACCTCCTGTGAGCAAGCAGAATCATTATGCCATTGTATTCAGCCAACTGACCCAGCCGAGGCTCGAACCAGCAACCTTCTTGCTGTGAGGTGACAGCACTACCTACTGTGCCACTGCGTCGCTTCTGGAAGAAGCAAAAGAGGTTGTACATGAAACTCCTCACAACAAATCTGTGAACAACTTGACATTTCAAAATCTAATCAAAATGAGGAAGACATCAACATTACCTTGAATAATCAAGAGAGGAGAGATTGGTAGCATCAGTTTTTCAGCATCAATTGCTGTAGTTGCAAAAAAGATAAATATAATAAGAGTAAAATAAGACTTAACATTTAATAATCTAAATCTATGGTACAACCATACAAATCTGTATGGGGTTCAAAAAAATTTGTATACAAATCATTCCCCACACCTGAACACCAAAGATAAAATGTACAATTAATGACACAATAACGTTATACAATAAGCTCATTAACCAGAGAGAAATAGACAATTAATATGAATTATGTTAATATTAACGTTAGCTTAAAAGACATCAACTGAATTTTATTATCAGCTCAATTTAATAAAACAGTTTAGACTTGTTTCATTGTGAGTTTAGTGTGAATAACTAACTTACAGTTTACAAATCTAACCATAATGATAGCTTAGTCATAATGACCACATGAAGACCAGAGCTTACCTTAACGTTAAACGTTTAACTTTTCATGGTGACTTTGCCTTCATCTCAGTGTTGTGCTGAAATAGAGAATTCATTAATGCAGTTAACCCCAAGTAAAAGTTAAGTTTTTTTTTTCAGGTAACTTAACGTTACTATGGTCAAAAACTCACTCAAGATAAACTCACTGTAATTACCTTATCTAATACCTCGCAAACACTACAAACACGGTCTGGCGTCGAATAACGTGACATAAGTACCTAACTTACAGTACAACTAAAGTAACTTGGTTAATTATTTTAAATTACACACACACTACACGGAAATATACACAAAACAATCCTTTAACGAACAGAATTTGACTTTTAAACACTTACCGAGAATGAATTCACTGGAAGAAAAGGCGACAGGTGGATTTCAAATTAGAAGAGCCGTTGCTTGCCTGGTGAAGGTCGAATCGAGTCGGCTCGGCTTTATGAATCGGCTCCTTAGAACAGTAAAGAGTCGAGTCCGCCTAAAACCGATTCCTTTTTGTATATTATGGTAAGACACAACAATGAATCATTACTATTTCGTTATACTGCTCGGCCACACACATTTATACACATATTGCTGAATGTGCTTGTGAACACGTGTGATAAAATAATTCCCGAGCAAACGGTTCAATCCGATTCGGTGTCGTTTGTGTGCTGAACCGAACCAGTGCAAACGTGGTATTGATAAAATAGTAATATTGTTTTTTTCTTCTCACTTTACCAGCGAAAATATTACATATATCTGACTTTAACAATAAGAATAAGGTTCGCTTGAAGTGTTTTGAGAATTAATATTTTTTTCTCCCAGGGTTCATTTCACACCAACAAGCAAATATAATGGCGGATGAGAAAAGCCAGATCATATCATAAATATTGCGTTTAATATGTCACGAAATGAAGTTTTAACAGTTTTTCATGCGAGAATGTAGTTCTTCCAAACTCAAATCTGTGGTTTGTTTTTAGATATCATGTCTAATTTTAAGTGTGCTTTGCCGATAGGGGAGATTCTGACCTCCAGGGGTTGACGGCGCTCCATCACTCATGTATCCGGCAAACCTCATGCTTTAATCGGCCTAGACATTATTGAGACATGCCCTGTCTTCGATGACTAGATAATAAATGTGTTATGAAATAAAGTTTTAACCGTTTTTCATGCGAGAATGTAGTTGTTTTAAACTCAATTCTGTGGTTTATTTATTAAGATAGTGCGTATTTTAAAATGTTGTTTTGAAAATGCGGAGATATGTGACCTATACGGTGGCCAATATGGGCGCCCAATATTCTTGAATCCGTCTAAAGCAGGTTGGTCACTCTGACATTTAAGCTGACTTTGAAATCATTTTGTGTGTTTAACAGTCTTTGGTTACGTGAATCAATTTATCTTTGTTCCAATTTACGTTTTGGTTCAGCACAAAGTTATGTTTATTAAATATTATTTAATATTTCCATGTTGCCTTATAAAGTGCACCCAAAAATGGAAAACCAGGGGACAGTTTAATGCATTGAACAGTCTGAAGAAACTGGTTAGGTTATTTACTTCACAAAATAATTTGTCTAAAAATAAATAAACATAATAATCATAATATATAGTGTGTGTGGAGTTGTTCTTGGTCATTTGCAGTACTGTATTTAGATGCACAGTAACGGATTTTTCCCCAAAATTCATTATAAAATCTACAGTAACATACTGTTAACCATGTTTACAGTATAGAAAAGTTGAAAATACATTATTATACTGTGAAAACAGCAATATATACAGTAACACACTGTGCACAGCTTATACAGTAAAAAACTGTTGAGAAATGCAGTATAATACTGTGAAAACAACAGAAATCGTTTACAGTGTAGATAGATAGATAGATAAATAGATAGATAGATAGATAGATAGATAGATAGATAGATAGATAGATAGATAGATAGATAGATAGATAGATAGATAGATAGATAAATAGATAGATAGATAACAATATGAAATATTTGACAAACAGATATAACTGTCATTTATGGTTCTTAAATAAAAAATGAGTGTTAGTCGAAAAAGAAACAGAAAATATATTACATTTCTTAAACATTTATTCAAATTTATTTTTACATTTTCAGAAATTAAACACTCATTTTTTTTTCTCTAGAGCAAACAGTAAACACAAACAAAATGACCGTACCTTTCTGTAAACAAGTTGAACTCAAGTTAAGTATTAGTGTAGCTTATTATAAAAACAAAAAAAAAAAAAAAAAAAACACTCAGCAAACTAACAGGGCTGAAACAACTCTGAAAATGTACTTTTCTGTTGCTTGCTACTAGATTGAGTGTCACTGGCAATACTCAGTTGACTGTTTAGCAAGACACTCATCACTCATTTGTGCTCACTCAATTGGCCAGTTAGACTATCACACATAGACGGCAGTCACACATTTGCAATTGGCGGGGGAAATTAAATATTACAGATATATTTCATATTGCAGCCTCTTGCTAATCGCTACGATTTAAATTGTGATTCGATTTCGATTAATCGCACAGCTAGTTACAGGTTTCCAACTTTCTTCAAAATATCTTCAGCACAAAAAAAAATCTAATGTGCTTGGAAAAGATAAAGGGTGTGTGAATTATGACAGAAATGTCAGTTTTAGGTGAATCTCTTTAATCTACATCAACTGAAAGCCACACAAGCTTTGAACTCTTAGAAATGACCTGCTCTCACATGTATACAGTTAAATTTATGTTTAACAGAGCAAGGAATCTTTCACAGTATTTCCTATAATATTTCTTATTTCAGCTAGAATAAAAGCAGTTTTTATTTTTTAAAAACAATTTTAAGGTCAATGTTATTATCCCCCTTTAGCAATATTTTATTTTTATTTTCTACAGAACAAACCACGGTTATACAATGACTTGCCTAATTACATTAGCTTGCCTAATTAACTTAGGTAAGCTTTTAAGCCACTTTAAGCTGAATACTAGTGTCTTGAAAAACATCTAGTAAAATATTATTTACTATCATCATGGCAAAGATAAAAGAAATCAGCTACTAAAAATTGAATTATTAAAACTTTTATGTTTAGAAATGTGTTCTTCTATTCGATAAACAGATATCGGGATATAAGAGGGTTCATAATTCTTCAACTGTATTTATTTCACTTTTCTATCCACAGCTGTACTTGAAGATGGGAGCCCTGCAGCATATAAACACCCCTCTCAGGTAGCCATGCATCACGCCAATTCATCAGGCGCTGTGCCGCTCAACCCATTTTCCAACCGCAGTCAATGGGAAGGACAGGCCGGCTCTCTATCACTCGCCGACCCCTCAAATGTCACCTCGAGCAGACCCATCCTGAGCGGCCCCATAGCTGCCATGCTCTCCATGACCCTGGGGATCCTGTCTAACATCGTGGCTCTTCTCATCCTGGCGAATGCGTATGCTCGCCTGCGCAGGCGATCCAAGGCCTTTCTCCTGTTTGCTGGCTCTCTGGTGGCCACAGACTTTGTGGGACACGTCATACCTGGTGCAATAGTCATGAGGCTGTATCTTTCTGGAGGTGTCCCAGCTGAGGAATACAACAGGGCTGACCCATTATGCCAGTTCTTAGGAGGCAGTATGGTGTTTTTCGGACTGTGTCCGCTCTTTCTTGGCTGTGCCATGGCAGCTGAGAGATGTCTGGGAGTAACAAAACCACTTCTTCATGCTTCGCTTGTTACAACTACAAGGACTAAACTCTCGCTTTCTGTCATCTGGCTGGCAGCTCTTTGTGTTGCCCTTTTGCCCTGTTTTCAGCTGGGTTCATATACCTACCAATACCCTGGAACCTGGTGTTTTATTAAAGTGCTGGAGGACGCTGAGAAGGCAGATATGGCATTTGTCATGTTGTTTTCAGGACTTGGGTTGACCTCCCTTGCTGTTGCTTTGGTTTGTAACACTATAAGTGGACTAACTTTGGTGCTAGGAAGGATACGAAAGAAACCATGTAACCGACGGTCAGCCAGATCTCATGATATTGAGATGGTGGTGCAGCTCGTGGGCATCATGGTCACATCTTGTATCTGCTGGAGCCCTCTTTTGGTGAGTATGAGCGATTGCAAGTCAACTTTTGAAGATATTCACACTCAATAAATTAATTGATAATAGTAAGAAATGAAAAGTTGAGATTATGTGAAGGGGTGTATTTGGTCCTGAGAGTGAGTTAAAATCAAATTGATTAGCCCTCCTGTTAAATTTGTAATATTTTAAAAACAATACTCAAGTGTTGTTTAAAAGATTTTTTCTGCACATTTTGAACCATATTAGTTTTAATAATAGCTTACGTCATTTTGCAAGATACTTGTATTCATCTTAAAGTGCAGTTTAAAGGCGTAACTAGGTTGATTAGGCAAGTTATAGTAGTTTTGTAGGTCAGATTTTCAGCCCATCATTGAGTCTATTTATTTAGTTGTGTGTAAATGTGTGTACATTTATATTTATTCAGTTTTTTTATTAATTTCAGCAATATTACTGACTAATATGAAAATGTTCATATGATTTACTGACAATACAATTTGTAAAGTAATCATTTCTGTCTTTTAGTAGAAGACATATGGTCGATATATTCTGAGACTTGCTTTGTTTAGCAAATAAATGGATCTATTAGGATTTGCATTTAATAAACATTAAATAAAAGTTAAAAATGTGTTGTTATTTTTTTATTCAACGTATTACGTTTTTAGTTATGATACACACAAAAATCCGTAGATTTTTTACAATATTCTGCACAGAAAATGTCCACAGATTCTGTCTGCCCCTACCCATCAGGAATAATATTAATAATTCATTTAATTTTCTTTTCGGCTTAGTGCCTTATTTCATTAGGGGGTTGCCACAGCGAAATGAACCACCAACTTATCCAGCATACGTTTTTACGCAGCGGATGCCCTTCCAGCTGCAACCCATCACTGGAAAACACCCATACACTCTTAAGCTGCAGTCACACTGGGCTTTTTCTCCCATAGGCTTCCATTCATACGCACGCGAATGCGTCAGATGGGAAATGCAGGGTCATGCGTCAAGTTTCACAGGTTGCTGCGGTGCAAAGTTCAAGTTTGATGAACTCTGACCTGCGAAATCGCATCACTTTACTGCGTCACAGGAATGTCAACTGACTCAGCCAGGGCTTGAACCAGCGACCTTTTTGCTGTGAGGCGATCGTGCTAACCACTGCGCCATCGTGACGCCTAATATTTATAGCATTTTTAAAATCTTTTATTCCAGCCAGAAGAAAAACAAATCATCTGAAAAACTGTGAAAACGTTCATGCTCTGTTAAACATCACTTGGTAAACAGTTGAAAAATAATAAATAATAATTTTGTTAATAATTTTGCCTTCAACTATATGTCTCTTAAAGGGATAGTTTACCCAAAATTGAAAATTCTCTCATAATTTACTTATTCACTTGTCACAAATTTGAGTTTAAGTTTCTTTCTTCTGAACATTTGAACACAAAAAAATGTATTGTAAAAAATGTTGGAAACAAGTAACCATTGAATTTCATTATATTGGTTCTTCCTACTATGGAAGTCAGGGGTTTCTAACATTCTTCAAAATATATTTTGGGGTCAACATAAAAAGAAAAATCATTGCAGCTTTACTATTGAACTTATTCATTAATTTTCCTTCAGCTTAATCCCTTATTTATCAGGGGTCGCCACAGCAGAATGAACTGCCAACTATTCTAGCAAATGTTTTTACGTGGTGAACCACTTAAAAGGACCACAACCCAATACTGGGAAACACCCATACACACACACTCACACACTACGGCCAATTTTGTTTACCCAGTTCACCTGTAGCGCATGTCTTTGGACTATGGAGGAAAACCAGAGCACCCAGAGGAAACCCACTCCAACATGGGGAGAACATGCAAACTCCACATACAAATGCCAACTGGCCCAGCCAGTACTCAAACCCGCGACAAATAAGTCATCAAATGAACAGGAATAAAGGACTACACATGCAAGCTCTGCCTATTTAATGACTAGTCTATTTTTTTTTTCAAATAAATTTTCACTGACAGCCTAAATATGGCCTTGTTTTAGCCAATATGTCTATGTTTGGACATTTATTAGATGTCTTTTGAACACAAAATTACTTGGTGAGATATATCTTTTTCTCCACCTAACAGCAAAAAGGTTGCTGGTTCGAATCCCTGCTTAGCATGTCTATGTGGAGTTTGCATGTTCTCCCCATGTTCGCGTGAGTTTCCTCCAGGTGCTCCGGTTTCCCCCACAGTCCAAAGACATGCGCTATAGATGAATTGGATAAACTAAACTGGTCGTAGTGTATGAGTGTGTAAATGCGAACGTGTATGTGTGTTTCCCAGTGCTGGGTTGCAGCTGTAAGGTCATCCACTGCGTAAAACATATGCTGGAATAGTAGGTGGTTCATTCCGCTGTGGTGACCCCTTGATAAATAAGGGACTAAGCTGAAAAAAAAGTTATGAATGAATGTAAAGTCAGCAATATTCTGACTTAATCTCACGACTAAGTAAAATGTACTGACTTAAATTTAGTATAAATTTAGTCGCTAGTTTATACTACAAATGACAGAGAGTATAAATATATATTGTAATGGACTGAAATATAGATTTCCTGGACCTGAATATTTTGTGCTGCAGTCTTAATAATGTTTTGTTTTTGTCTCAAATCTAGATTGTTGGCCTAATTACTGTCAAGCAGTCATACGAGCACTCCATAGGAGACGACCTTGCCACCTACAAGACCCTGATGATAATGGGTGTGCGAATAGCTTCCTGGAACCAGATCCTGGACCCATGGGTTTACATCCTTCTCCGTCGTTCTGTCCTCCAAAAGATTTACTTCATCACCAAACGTCAAACAGACTTGAAGGAAAGCACTCTCCGCTGCTGGGAGATCCACTCTTTTCCCAGCTCAGAGAAAAATCCTGTCAGTAGAGTCTGAGAGTAAGAGACTTAAAAAAAATGAATACTCTGCTAAATGTGTGTTCACACTTGACGTTTGGTTCTCTTGGACTATTTGGTCCAAACCCTAAATGAAAATGATTAATTTAGTCCTACTGTTAGTGAAAGTTAGTTTACTTGGCAATTATGCTGTAATTTTTCAACCCAGGCTTAATATTGAGATGTACTCTTGTACACATTTCTGGAAAGCGCCAAAAATGTCCCAGGAGGTTAGTTTTCTTCTTCCGTTTTTGTTTTTGCAAATCCACCAGAGGCCGCTGTGTACACTTTTTCAGGTCTCAAATTTCTCTCGCAGATGCCATTTACACCTGCTGTTCTGCATAAATCTACTGCTGTTACCCGAAGGCTGATTTATACTTCTGTGTCGAGTGATCGGCGTGACCCACAGCAAATGTCTTGCGCGTAGCCGTGTATTTATACAATTGAGGTCAGATTTATTAGCCCCCTTTTAATTTTTTTTTGTTTCTTTTTAAAAGATTTCCCAAACTATGTTTAACAGTGCAAGGGAATTTTCACAATATGGCTGATAATATTTTATCTTCTGGACAAAGTCTTATTGTTTAAATTGGGCTAGAATAAAAGCAGTTTTTTTTTTTTTTTTAAATTATCAAAATTATTAAGCTGTTTAAGCCAGGGGTTCTCAACTGGTTTGGCCATGGGACCACATTTTTACACGGTCATCAAGCCGCGACCCAAATTTTTAGGAACTAAAATACAATTTTAGGAATTATAATTAATTTGGATTTATTTGTTACAATACACAAGTAGTGACTGATAAATCATAAAAAAAACACTAACAATTACAAATAAACTATATTTTATTGTTGTCGTTTAACAAAATGTATCAAATTATAGAAATATTATAAAGTAAAAAGAAAAAATACTGCAAACAGTGGTTAGGGTAAGGAAATGTTCAGTTACCATTAACTAAAACTGAACTGTTAATAAAACATGTTGTCGGGTTCTATGTTGTTTTAATTTAGAAGGTTTCATGCTCACTTGTGAGAGCACCTCACTACCTATGACACACTAAGGCTTTAAGTCTTTTTTTCTTGAATAAAAATATGTAATATATATATGTAAAAATATGTCAAATATGTAAATCCATACTTTACATATTCAGGGTCATATGTGGGCATTTGTTGCTTTAATTAAATAAAATTTCACATGTCAAACAGTACAGTTGTCCTGCACGCATTTCAAAATAAAAGTCAAATTTTAAAATTACACTTTTTTTGACCACACACTCCACGACCCACTGAAAATGTTCCCGCGACCCACTTTTGGGTCACGACCCACGAGTTGAGAAACTCTGGTTTAAGCTATATATATTTTTTAACCAGCACACCAGCATCATAACATACCTTACCAGTACATGCTGTTTTTTTCAGCAGGGTAAAGGGTTGATATACGAACCAAAAAGAACACAACACATGAGACATTGCATTTATTTAAAGGAGCCCTTAATTACAGCATGTGATGCACTCTCTATGTCTGTGTAAAGAATGTATAAAGCAAACCTGCTCAAAGACAAAGCATGAGATGGACATTCCTCACGATAGAGCTCTAATAGTTTTGGCCAGAAACACTCATGGCAGTGTAAAAAAAATCAGCAATTATTTGCTGTCTTTGGCTAAGAGTATTTGAATGCAGACTTGCACTCAATAGAGCTAGTGACGTCACTGTGAGGGGTTAGAAACGGGTTAGGTGTACACATTAAAAGCATTGCATGCAGTCTTAGTTTGCATCTGCAGCCAGACCCTTCTCACTTTGGCCAAGATTACCTAGTAATGTAGCAATAGCTCTAGCCAGGACTGTTTTTATTTGTAGCCATTTGTTCCTGTGATGAAATCATTGGGTACAAAAACTGGGATGCCAGTGAAAAGTGGCACTAAACATAAGTGTTTTTTGTACACTTATTAAAAAAAAAGGTTGCGTAAAGTTCACCCTTCGGAAATTTTGTACAGCATGATCTTTATCAGATATCAGAACTGTGAGGTAAACTTAGTTTAATGTATATAGGAGGAAGACTGCGTTTTCCACTGATGTTTATCTTGCACATATGTAAATGTGCACATTGCTTGTGTGAATAATAATGTTCATATTTTTGTATAATTTATTTCCTGTGTTTCCCCTCCAATTTTCTGGAGCTTCTTATGTTGATATTTACATGGCAAAAGTATACATAAAATAAAACAAGTAAGTGAATTTCAGATCTGGTACTGTTTCATTTTTTTTCACAATGCATAACCAATGTGCTTCATCAAACTGTAAGTAAAGCATTTTGAGGCTCGAGCTACAAATAAACCATGTAAATTGTGTGTAATAAATTGGTTATTCAAACCCTTTTCAAAATATGCAGTTTTTTTTTACATAAAAATTAAGCTACTCTAAACTTCATGCTTACTAAATAACTAGATGTTTATGATCAGCACACAAAATTACTGTGCATAAATAAGCAAGTAAACCAGAGATGCCTAAAGTAGGGCCGTGGGACAAAGTTGGCCCGTTGTAGCCTTTGATTTGGCCCACCATCCCATCTGAGAGAGGTACAAAAAAAGCAAACTGAAATAAATTTTTTTTATCAAATATTTTAAATGAATCAGATTTTTAAAAATGTAAATAGCCCACTGTCACTCCACAAATAGAGAACTACACAGAGGACATCGGCAAGCAAATCAAGGCAAAAAAAATAGTGTAATTCTGTTATAAATTAGATTGTTTTGATTTTATTGTAATAAGTTCATTATCAAATGTAAAAATAAAACATGTTTAAACCAATGTTTTCTAGCCATTTAAAAACATGACTAAATAAACTAGGAAATTACCTATGGCAACTATATTTATCTTCGGCCCACTAGCCTCAATCAAGTTTGGTTTTTTGAGCCTTCATAAGAAAATGTTTGGTCATCCCTGATGTAAACAATTTTCTTTATTTTTGTATTGAAGCATATAACTGACAAGCATACAGGATTATATGATATGAACATATGTAAAAGTCATGCAAAGCTTAGAGATGCAGAACATACATTAAATAAAAAATACTACACTACATATGAGGGGATCCATCATATTTAAATTTTTGGATTGTATAGTTCATTTTTTTCATTATTAGAGGGGTTTTTAAAGCCTTCTTGTTTCTTGTAATTGAGGTCAAAGAATTATAAAGTATTTTTAAATCTTTACAGAAAAAACTAAAGGAGGGATTAATAAACATTACTTTTGTCTTGTGTATGTGAAACTTCCCAAGAAAAATGATCAACTTCAAAGCATTATCGAGTGCATCATAGTCAGCTTTAAAATTTAAAAAAAAAATCATGCATTTGTCAAAGTTAATTATTTTGTGAAATGAATCAAAAATCAACCCTGAAACCTGTTTCCAAAAGTCCTCAGAAAATGTACAAGTACAAAATAGATGTAAAAGACTTTCAGGTACAGTGTTACAAAAAGAACATTGTGGTGAAATATATATTTTTTAATTTATTTATACATATATTGCAGGGATATAATTTATTTTACCTTATTTGGGAGTAAAAATTTATGTAAACAATTATAAGAAAGTTGAATCTTGAGTGCGCATGCGCGAAAGGGTCAGAGCGTGGCCCGGAAGTGGAGCATTTTACGCTTTCATTCAGTAAACTGAGCCAGCAGTGTGTGCAACAAATCTTTTTAGATTTGAAGACAAATACATGGGCACTGAATATTAAAGTCTACGAGTTTCTTATAGCATTAGAAGCTGTGCAGGTAAATATGAATAAAGCCTTGTTGCACGTTATTCGTTTAACCAAATGATTTGTTCGCGCGCGTGCTAACGTGCTTCACTAACATCTGTTTGCGTTGTCCAAAAACGTGTTAGACGCTCTACGAGCATGTATTTTATTAAATTCCGCAGTTTTATTAAGTTTACATTTATTGTGACTCGGCCAGAAATTTCAAAACACAATTTATCTTAATTAAATGGCGTATTAGCACGTTGATGCTAACGTTAGGAGTGTTGTCCTTTATTTACAATGAACAATCTTCCATTTACAGGTTATTGTGTGAAGAATATGGCTCAAATGAGACATTTTCCGAGACGAAGGGACGGACCTCTTCCGCCTCGACCACCACCCGCCTGGGACGAGCACCTGGCCTACGAGGAGCTGCTGCACTGGGATAATCTCATGCAGGAGGGGTACCACCTCCACCCGCACGACTACGAGCGGTAAAACACTTTATTTGTTGTACTGAGGTACAGTTGCTGTTAAATTTGCATATTGAGACTTTCCCCCTAACAATTTAATATCATAAATGTATTATTTGCAAATTCTAAATAGCAAAAGTCATATTAGCTGCAGGCGATGCAGTGGCGCAGTAGGTAGTGCTATCGCCTCACAGCAAGAAGGTCGCTGGTTCGAACCTCGGCTCAGTTGGCGTTTCTGTGTGGAGTTTGCATGTTCTCCCTGCCTTCGAGTGGGTTTCCCCCACAGTCCAAAGACATGTGGTACTGGTGAATTGGTTAGGCTAAATTGTCCATAGTGTATGAGTGTGTGTGGATGTTTCCCAGAGATGGGTTGCGGCTGGAAGGGCATCCGCTGTGTAATAACTTGCTGGATTAGTTGGCGGTTCTTTTCGCTGTGGCGACCCCGGATTAATAAAGGGACTAAGCCAATAAGAAAATGAATCAATATTAGCAGCAAATTACTATCAAAGTACAGCATTGTTCACAGTCAATTAAATAGTGCCAATGTTGTTTTGAAGTCACACTTGCATGTGTTTCAGACCGAATATTCAAAGTGCCATGGTAAACATTATAGAAAGAATTCCACAAGTTGTCACTGAATGAATGCGAATATAAACTCATCTTTACCTCAATTTATTTTATTGTTCTAATTAGGGTTGTAACAATATACCGGTATGACGGTTTACCACGATTTGAACGTGCACGATTATCATACCATGAACAATTGCATATCAACGGTTTTAACCCTTAAAGACCGAGACAGCCGCCCGCGGCTAAAAATAAGTATTGCTCTTAAATGTTTAATAACTTTTGATCCACTGATCCCATTCATACAATTCAAAGATTGGCATAAAGAAGAGAATCTCAGCTTTCCAGTGCTGTATCACATAAGTGCGGACTTTCAGAGGCTCAGGAATCAGTGCGGTTACGTCATCAAAATTTGACAACGCTGATTTGACAAAGAAACGCTCGTCACTGTGTCTCCGGACAAACCAGACATGATACATTGATGCATTGTCCCTCCTCCATGCCCAGATTGGTTCAAACTCGCTTTATCACAACTAATAAGCATAGGTTTCACTTTTGTTTGTGGACCAACAATGAGCCTTTTGAACAACACGGAATGAGAGATAGGCATATATTTATGCGCGGCTAAATAAAACGCAAAAAAAAAAAGTTTTGCATGAAATAATTCTCATACTAAGTACTTTTGCATGCACAGCAGCACAGAAACATGACAAAACAGTGACACAGCAAAGACGAACTGCTGCTCTTGCTGTTTTCAAAAGACGCAAATGAAGGTGCAGCTGTTTGTCTGCATTGCAGACAACCATATCCAAATCCATATCCACAGACAACCATATCCATGCTGGCACATAAAACCTAAGGATGTTCCATATTGAATCTAGTTTCGTTATGTAACTATTTATAGTATAGTAAATATTTATATCTATTTTTTTACTGAGGATTTGCACCATGTTTATTTGGACTTTGACGCATTATTTATTATTTTCTTATTTTTTTATTTGTTCATTGTAAGTGGTGTTGTTTATAGTAACTGAAAATATATTATTTGGAAAAAGTCAAATTTGCTTCACTGTTCTATTATTTTGTAACACTTTTTTTCTGTTTTGTTCATTCCCAGACCTTTTGGGCAGATACATTGTCAGTAAATAAATGCATTTTTTTCCCCCATAGAAAAACCTTTGTTCAGTCAGAAAACGTGTTCTTATTCTTTTCAGGGTCTTTGCTATGAGAATTACTATTTAATACCGTATACCGCAAAACCGTCAAACCGTGGTATTGTTTTTTACGATTATCATACCGTAAAAAATTCATACCGTTACAACCCTAGTTCTAATGTTGTTTATACTAATGTTGTTTTAAAGTCCAACTTGCCTGTGACTTCAGACTAAATATTCAAGTTAGCGTGGTAAACAATATAGTGACTGTTAAAATGAACGAATGTGCGAATATATAAAAGCAACTTTAGCTCAATGTTTATATTTGTTATATCAATATAATTTCACCAGAGAAGTTGAAAGGCTCAATTTGTAAAGAATGTCTCACGAGTGTACTACAAGCAGGAACTGTTTTAGTTTCTACAGTTTTCTTTATTCGTTTTTTCTTTCTGACATTTTTTTATTTTCTTACTATTTATTCTTTACTGTTGTCAATGTTCTAAACAGGTGTCTTTTTATATAACTATAACAACATAACTATTGTTGTTTTTGCAAATGGTTTCATTTATTTTTCTTTTAGATTTGTTTTTATTTTCATTTTGCAAAATGCATTCAATAAAGTTAAATTATTGTTAAGTTTGTTGGTAATTAATTTTTTTTTTATCTAAATGACAATTAGATATTTTGGGCAACTAGCTGAATTTAAATACATTTAATATTTTAATTTTACTAACTTTACTAGTGGGCAACAACTGAAAAAAAGACATTAAATTAACTATGTAACTATATATATATATATATATATATATATATATATATATATATATATATATATATATATATAATTTTTTTATTTATTTTTTTTTATTTTTTTGAGTATATAATATCACCAAATGAGTTATTGACTCATTTTGGAAAGAATTTGTCATTTTTAGATTGATCATCGGGGTTATTTTGTGGAGCATCTGCGTAAAATATACAGAATCCCATACAATAGGGCAAGGATCAGGTACAAATGAAATGATAGTTTGCAGGTAAACAAGTTGAATAATCAAATGTAAATAACACTTTATGGTCTAACACTTTTAAATAAAATGATAGTTTGCAGATAAATAAATTGAATAATCAGGTCTAAATAACACTTTACAGTCTAACACTTTTAAATGAAATAATAGTTTGCAGGTAAATAAATTGAATAATCAAATGTATATAACACCATAGTCAATAATAATAAATATAATTAATATTTGTTAATACTACAAACTTGCTTGAAAGGCTTACAGTCAGAAGCCTTTAAACACACAAATGCTAAACCTTCACACGGTTATGTTTTCTGTTCTGTGGAGCCTGGTGAAACATAATCCTGACTCTACGTTTCAGATCTTGCTATGTGATTCTTGCAAATGGCATTTGGATGCTAAAATGATATACTGTGCTGTCCTGGTTGTAGTATTCCAAGTAAGCTTTTCTTGAATAGCTAATTTAGCTATGTTTAATGGGGAAGAAGCTAGAATATGCTGGATGGTGGTCTTGATTTTAATAGTATTTTCATTATAAGTTTGTTAACTTTCTAAATGAGTCACATGTTGTCATAAACTAGATGGAGGAATGACATCAATGTCTGTGCATAAAGATGTGATGAAGCTCAATTCTCGTTGCAGGTATGAAGAGTTGCGTTATTGGTATGATTGCTTGTGTTATGAAGAAGACCTCAGGCAGTACAATGACTACATCGTGGAGTACAGGAAGTGGGAGGAGGAGAATTTGCACCCAGAGGAAGTATGTCACTAACATTTATTTATTTAATGACCCAAATTAATTCTCTTACTTTTTATTAGATTATCCCTTAGATGTTCATAGTTTATTGCATAATAAGAGACCTTGATAATCAGCATTTTAACACATTGCCATTAATTAAATTCAACTCTTCTCTTCCCCAGCCGATGCCACCAATGAGGCCACCGCCTCAGCGAACGTTTGTGAATGAGGATCGTTATTTACGGGCCAAGCACACAACAGTATATCCGTCATCAGAGCAGCTAGATGCTGTGCAGAACATGGTGTCTCATATAGAGTTTGCAATGAAGGCTGTCTCTGATTGGTTTAATGAAAAAGAGGCCGGTGACACCGATACTAAAAGGTATGTGTTGGGCTTAAATGTAATTTTTTTTCTAGTTCATTTACTTGTATACGGATGAAAGTAGCTGAATAAGGAATGAGAGGATGATCGCATGTACACGGGGAAACACAGGCTATCCTCACTCTTTGTTGAGGGCTTAAGTGTCACGCGCACATGGGATGTAATGTGTGCGAGTGTATAAAAAGCTTGCAATCTTACAAAGAAACCGTGCCAGGAAACACAACCGGTGCAATTGCTTCTCTTTAAAATAGACTGGACAAATGTAAAAAAAAAATGTGGGAAATGTTTTTTGACTTTTTGTAAACAGCAGCGATTGTCGCTTTCGCTTTACCCATTCTATGAGCAGATTAATAATGGGCCTATTGTTAATCGTGTGTGTGATCATTCTTTCATTGTTTCACACATTGTTTTTCACCTGCTTTCTTTTGCTTGCAGTTATTTTTGAATAATGTGGTTTAATTATCATCCTTTACAATTTTCTTGCTTTAATAGGAGATTTAGGCCCAATCCCAATTCTACCCCTTAGCCCTTACCTGTTTTGCGCGTGCCCGTGAAGGGATAGTAGTGTCCCAATTCTCTTTAGCTTGAAGGCATAGGGTTAAGGGCAAGGGGTATACACCCCTTCAAACGAAGACTTTTCAGGACCACACTTGAAACCAAGGGGTAAGAAAAAATTCCCAGAAATACCCCAACAACAGCTGCACCCGGAAGTAAGGAGATCCACAAATTAGTATTTTTTGTCATTATTACGATTTTTTACAACAAACAAACACGTTTTAATACATTCATAACCGCGTTCATGTTTTACCGTCATGCTTTAAAAAATGCTCAAACAAAAACCGCTAAATTTCATGATCTATTCACGATCTATAATCCCTAATCATAACTCCGGTACAGCAGTCCCACAACTTTGACACTCGAAAACACTGGAATACACTGTCAGAAAAGTCTAGTGGCTGTCAATGGGCTTTTTACAGTGTCTGCTATAATGTTAATGCTGTTTTTTGTGTTTACATTGAGTATGGCCACTGTGTTAAATGCACAGTATTTCATTATTATTGTATTATTATATCTTATTGCCACATTAGATCATTATGATAACATAATATATGCTTTCAGTGATTTCCTGAAGATAAATACCAAAAAATAACACAAGTGGAATACCTACAGTCGCGATCGTCTGATTTCATATGAAGCAAGAAATCGTGAGGACATATGATGACGAGTGCAGGTGATGTAGTGCTGTCCCAATTCTTACCGTACGTTCACACCGAGAGCCTCCAAGGTCGCTCTGGCCGCCCTGGCGACAACGCTCTCTGCCTTCAGCTCCGGCAGCGAGAGCGTCAAAACTCGCTACATTGATCTCATATTTAAAGGAGCCGTTGCAGCATATCAGTTACATTCCTGCATAAAACATGTTTCTAGCGTGAAAATGTTGCACACTTCTTATCAAAATCATACAATAATGGAAGATCAAGTTGCATGTGGTTTGGCTTTGCTCTATTTATCCAATATGTGTCCATATGTCTGAAATATCCTGAAGCAGCAGTACTGTTTTGTACTGTCACATCGCGTGAGATTCCCGCTTTTTTAAGACAAATTTATATAACATTAATGAACATCAGTAAATCGCCAGTAACTTATTTAATGTATGTTCCTGTAGGAAAAAATTGTAAATAATTGGAAATATGGTGACCGCAATAATCAAACCCTTGGGAACAACTGTGGTCGGAACCAAAGTTCACAGGTCTGTGTTCTCTGAACTGCTATCAAGCGATGGACGTCTTCATTCTGATTGCTTGCCGCCGAACCGCGTCATAGCTCATTACCATAAAGTTGACTTCATTTCAACTCTCCTCGACGCTCACGCCGGCGAAGACGCGCCACGCTGCTCCTCGCCGCCTATCGCCGCCGGCTCTCATTGAAAATGAATGACTTCCGGCTACTTTGACACTCTCGCCGCTTTCGGTGTGAACGTACGGTTAGGGGTAAATTTTAAAGCCCTTCCCCTTAACCCTAAGTTGTAAGGGCCAAGGGGAAGGGGTACAAAAATAGAATTGGGATTGGGCCTTACGCTTTATTTATGTATAGTGATTTGGGACCTTTAGCTAGGATAGACTGATTTGCATAGGTTTAGATTGGAGTTGATTATTTGCAATAGTCACATCGCAGGATATGCAATGTGGAATTTGTATTATAATTTATTGTTGTCATGTGCTTTTGATGGCTGTGATTGTATAATGATTTTTTTAAAAATTCAGGTGTAAGAAATTGACCTTTTGTGACATTAATTGCGATTCATTTTATTGGATTTTCTTTTATTTTGATCATTCAATTACTGTACTTGTTAGACTTCAGAAATGATAAAACACTTTATTGAAATTGTATATTTTTCTCAATTGTGTTTATAGATTGTTATGCATAAAAATACTCTAAACGCATACAAATACATAAATGCACTGCAAATAGCACAGACTACAAAGAAAATGAGTTGGGGAATCACAAAAAGCCTATAGATTGTTTATTAGTTTTTTTGGAGATGCAAATAGTAAACATCATTTCATCAATCTCGGACTAAACAAGTGCATGAAATACTGACAACGCATGCAAATACAGAAATGCACAGCAAATAGCACAGACCACAACGGAAATGTGTTGGGGACCTCTAAGTTTTTACAGATTGTTGATTAGATTTTATGGAGATGCATTCCCACTAACCTTATAAATTCTATTAAGTCATTTTGTAAAATTGTGTTCATATTACTATATATATATATATCTTAAAAAGTATAAAAGTTGATAATTAAATTTAGAGAAATTACAGGCCTTTAAAAAATATTTTAAAGTCCCAAATGCTATTTTATAAGGGATTAAATTTGTTTCAGCATGCTAAAGTTTGCCTGAATTTAATTTGGGAATATCAGGATGTTGCGTAGCTCATGATATCAATCAAATCCTGCAAGATTTGACATCACACTGTTTTGTTTACTGCAGTAACCAAGAAGACATAATTTTTCTGTTGTTCTATTGGTGCCAACTGCTGGATTAGCATTTTTATTTAGTGCATGAAAAATGTTTTAGTTTAGGATTCGTTTCTTACAATCAGTATTTAATAAATATGCTGTAAGTTAAAATTGCGCCAATGTTATCGGCTGAAACCTAAAGTAGCGATGACGTCTTAATGTATGGAAAGAGTCATAGTAAAGGTCTTAAAAGGTATTGAATTCCACTCTCTATTTAGTGTTTACTTTATACCCTTATTCAGCTATATTAATGTTGTTTTGAAATTTTCAAATAGTTTTAAACGTGTGGCTAAGAAATAATTATTTATTTTTGGTGTGGCCAGAGAGAAAAATGGTTAAACACATATGCATATATAACAAATGACATACAAATAATTACCACATTGTTTTAGAGCAGTTTTTCAGTTGGAACGAAAGGAAATGACAAACAATCCTGTTTAGACAACGAGAGTTATTTTTTGTATTCTTAAAGGAAAGACCATATCAATCAGAATTTGTTAAACTCTGTGGTAATCTGTGACGTCCACATTTTAGACAAGTTTGTGTTCCAGACCAGAAGTAACAACAGACATTTTTTGAGGCAAATACATCTGTCTTTCATCTTTTTTTTAATAAACTGTAAATAATAAATACTAGGGTCATGTCCAAATTTACTACTTTAAACATTTTCCAAGATGATAAAATTGTCACATTACCAGGCAGCTCGGTAATTGAATCTCTTTTTTACTTTTGAAACCAACCCTGTCGCTTTGAGTCTGAAAGGTCAAATGAAATTAAAATGTTTTTTTTTTTTTGTTTTTTTTTTTAGATGTTAGTATCCGTATTGTTAGTTTTTAGAATATCTATAAGTTTGTGTGCACCAGAACAGTGGCAAATTTTGCATTTAGTCGATATAAAATGAATATAATTGTGTGTAAAGCTTGTAGTTTGTCACTTCCGCCTAAACAGAATGGTTTGAGAAAGACAAGTTTAAACAGTGTCTGAAGCCTGTTGCTGAAAACAACTGTGTAAAATTAACAACTGTTTATTAAGGTAAAGGATTGATACTGATTAGAACTTGAAGTGGCAACGAGGTCTTAAAATATTCTGATAAGGTCTTTAAAAAGTCTTTAAAAGGTATTGAAATTACTTTCAGGATTCCTGCATATACCCTGCACCCTCTCTTCGATTGAGATTGTCAAACATTGAATAAAAATGCATATTTTAAAGCACTTCACGGGACCCTTGATACATTTAGTCACTGCATTTTCAAGAAATTCCTTCCTCATGCTTCCTATCTCTTGTTGTGTTTTTTCCTATGCAGCAAATCCTCGCAAAGTAAACTGCGTGGCGTTTTGAGAGTAGGCCTGGTGGCTAAAGGACTCCTGCTCAAAGATGACTTGGATTTAGAGTTGGTGCTGCTCACCAGAGATGCACCTACCAGCTCCCTCCTCAGGCTGGTCTCTGGAAAACTCTCAGAACTCATAAAGGTTGTTCCTTACACTTTGCTTATTTGATTCTGTGGTTATTCTATGAATTTTGCTTGCTTTTTTGTCATCTTTTAGAACCCATTTATGAAACATACGCATTAAGATTGGCTGGCAAAATTGATCAGCATCTTTACATTAAGAAAAAGAAAACTCATACCACCGTTGACCATATTTACATTTAATTTAAATGTTAAAAGCACTACATTTATACACTATTAGTGCTTAAAAGCATTATTAAAATTGGGTAATGCTTTTGTAAGCATGCACAACTGTTCAGAATAATTAACTTTTATTTATCAAGGATGCATTTATAATGTTGAATGAGTACACCCTTTTAAGTTTTCTCTTTTAAATGAATATTTTCTATAGGATGCTGTACAATTAGATTTGTGTATGTGCATTGGATTAGTCAGTTCTAAAATTGGATCTAATATAACAAAACAACTTAAGTTTTACACACCAAATAATATGTTAAAGAAAAATATTAAATAAAATGAGTAAAGAGAAAAAAATCAGGCAAAAAAAAAAAAAATAATAATAATAATAATATATATATATATATATATATATATATATATATATATATATATATATATATATATATATATATTACATTTAGTTGAAATGGTGTAGTTTGTAGTTTAATTTTCTTTCCATTCCTAAAGATGTTAGGTGACCACACACTTGTTTTAATGAACATAATGGTTTAACAAAACTGTTTTATTTAAATGCACCTAAATATATTGTTTATATTCACCAAGAATAAAATATACACTCATTTATGCTGTGCTCTGAAAATGCTGTTTTGAACCTAATATGCATCATATAATCCTAAACGGATATCAGGGTCAGTACTTCCCACACATAAACTTTACTTGGGCGGTGTGCCCAGATTTATTAATGGCCGCTCAAGTATATTTATTGACAATTTTTTTCTTATTATTATTATTATCATCCTTTTACACTGTATCCGCCCAATATAAACAATCGCTCTTGGATAAGTAGTGGAAAATCTTCTATCCTTTACATGATTCATACTGCTCATTCTGTGCGCGCAAGAGCTGTCAACACTCCGACAGTCTCTCGTGCTCTGCAGAGACCCACACCTTTTTGCATCCGGTCGGCGTTTTTAAATCACCTAAAATGTCCGGAATTTGGTTTTGCTTTTGTTTTCTAAGCTGTCATTAATTTTATGCGCTGAGAGAGACATTAAATTGTTAATTCTTTAATCTAATTGACCTAGAAAAACTTGACTAAGTACTCTTAGAGGGCGAAATTACATCTAAATTGGCTGCAGAATATTTAAACGCCATTGGAAATGAATAATCAACTCATTTGCCTTTATTTAAATAATCCACACGTTTATTCTTGTAGTTATTATAATTTTTAGAGATATTGTTTTTTTTATTTCTTTTTTTCTATTATTTATTTCTCATTTGCTGTATATTTTAATTTGATAATGTCAATATATTACATTTTTTATACATCTAAAATGCTTTGTCAATACTCTACAAAATGTCATGTCATCAAAGCAACCTGAACTTAAATGAGAGCTAGTGAGAAGCTGATTTTACCTGTCAGTGGGTGCACATGGCTCCTGAATAGCATTAAAAAGAAATTTAGGATTTTTAAAATTGATTTTAAGTTTTTTTTTTTACTTAAACCTATTGGAAAAAAAAGTTTAAATAATCATAATAATAATTAATATAGTAATAATAGTGTTAAAAATCTAATTATGTTTTGTTTGTCACATATAGTTAACTATTTATGTGCTGTGAGTAAAAGGTGTCTTTTTAATTCGGCTACCACCTCAAGTATATTTCAAACCTGTTGGAAGCACTGAGGGTTTTCTCAGATATATTATGTAGCACAAATGTTTTTAATATCGATAACAAAACGCGTTTCTTTAGAAACAAATCAGAATCTTTGTCATAATCATAAAACACACCAAAAAACTATTAGATGTCTAAAGAAAGTATTATGTGTGCACTGTGCTTGTGTAAGAACTTGGCTGTCAAAATCAGCAGGAAAAGGGTCTATAATCCTCATTCAGAAAGAGAAACTGAAATGCTTGTATAATACCGGAAACAAAGCATTTTGAATATTAGTTTTAAGGAGATGCAATGTTAGAACAGACTTTCATCGCTATTGCTTCTGTTCTTGTACATTGATGCGTTCACCAAACCGAGCAATCAATCAAAAGAATTGATTTCTCACTGATGACCCCGCCACTTATTCAGCATTCTGAAACTTGTCACATCAAAAAAATTTGCATGTCAAGACACTTTTTTTTCTTTGCTGTGTATTGTCCCTAAGAATGTTTTCCCAAGGAGCGTGTGACAATCTCGCTTCCTGCATTGTTGGTAAGCGTAAAACAAAAGAACCTCAATAAAAATCAAAAACTTCAACTTACCAACCGTATATTATTGAATAGATTAATTAAATGTTGTTTAAAAGCTAGTGTTACTGGAAATAAAATTAACATGCTGTTTCTCTGCTCACTTTTCTCAATGAAAGGATGTGACTGAGGAGAAATACGTCATCACTCCATCGATCCAGGAAGCTTCTGTTATTGTTACAAGCACGAAGGAACCCCTTTTGAAACTCCGCATCCATCTGACCTCACCTGTGGTCAGGGAGCAGGTTGAAAAAGAGGCATCTGGAGGTATGATCTCACTTTTTGTCAATTTTGGACCAGAAAGACCTTCAGCGCCTTCAGAGGAGGGAAAATAGTAGTCCTGCAGTACATTCCTGCTCCACCAAATTGTTTAATGTTGAATGAAATGTGTTTTTATTTATATAAACGTATATACTGGGTGCTTTCAGGAATTTAAATGTTACAAGCATTGCTCTTCGTTATTGTTCAGCTATGTTCTGCTGAGCATTGCATTTTTCCGAACGCCAAATTTTAAGCGATACGAAGGGTTTGCATTGCAGCAAATAAGAAAAAAAAAGCAAACAAATGGTTAGTCTGATAGTTTAAGCTGTTTTTGTTGGTGATTATGCTTGTTTGTTGTTATATAGTGAATAAGAGTTTTAGTCTTATTTCATCTATCTGCATAAGGATTAATCTAGAACATATTTCACCTGTATTTTGCTGCAGTATTTACCCTGCTCACAGCTGAGTTCATTGAAACAAGATATTGCTTTTGTTGCCTGTGGTTGCAAATTGACTTTCTCAACCAAGCCTTCTAGTTTGTCAATTTTAGGGGCGCTGGACTTTTGACCAACTGGAAACTCTCTGTCTCTGAAGGGGGGGGGCGCAGTTGGCCTACAGAAGAAGAGGGTGAAATGTCTGTAGAAGTAGATCATTGTGAAGATTGTCTTGAAATACTGTTAGGATTGCGTAGATTGTGTCAGATTACTTCCTGAACAGTTCCCCCTCTTCCTCTTGCCTGTGGGCACGGGAACACTGCGTCTACCCCTGGCCAGATGACAGAACCCCCCTTGGTCAAACTGTGCCTTGTCTTCTTACTCCATTCGTCACTAGAACCGTGCGCGGAAAGCTCTCCGCAGGACGCTCTGGACAGGCAGAAATGCCTGGCTTCTCTGGCGTCTCTCCGCCAGGCCAAGTGGTTCCAGGTTTGCATCCGTCTTTATTTGTCTAAAAGTCGACTTGTAACTTAATCTGACCTTTTGACCTGGGGAAAATACATTTTGCACATTGAGCTGTTTCTGAGCAATGATTCTTAATTGAAACGTCAATACATGATTTAAACTGGATTGCGTTTTGACCTCATTCGTTGAAATGTCAGATGTATCTTTCCCAGGTTGCAGTTTGTTCGTTCTTGGTCAGAAGCTATAATTTGGCCAGATTGCTAAATCTGCTAAATGCAAATCCACCTCTTAAAAGCATCTAGAAGTTTTTGTTTTTCTAAATGGTTTGTAGTATTTTTAACTGGTTTGCTGTTTGTTGGGTTTGCAGGCTAAAGTGTCCGGGCTTGAGTCGTGTGTCATTGTGATTCGGATCTTGCGGGACTTGTGTTCCCGTGTTTCAACATGGGCACCGCTCAAAGGCTGGGTGAGTCCACCTCAAACAATAACAACATTGAGTGATTCTATAGAGAAATTCATAGGACGCCATTTTGACGCTTTTGTTTGTTCGCAGACTCTTGAGTTGCTGTGTCAGAAGGCCATTTCCACCAGCGAGAGGATGCTGGGTCCTGGAGAGGCTTTTCGCAGAGTTCTGGAGTGTCTTGCTTCAGGGATTATAATGGAGGGTAAAGACTGAAACAACCCATTATTTGTGTTTGAGAACTTTTACCAACAGGAACTTCTGGATTATAATGGTCCTATTTAAAAAATGTATATTGCAGATATTAAAAGTCAGGGACTGTTGTTTGTTGCTTTAAAGATCCTGTGAAGTGCTTTGAAATGTGCATTGTCATTCGATGTTTGACATAATATCGACCAAAACACGAAGAGAGGGTGGGTGTAGCTCCTCCCCTTTAAAAAAAGCAAAAAAACAAAACAAAAGCGTTTGGTTTTATAGCCGCTCTACAAGTGAGAGCGATTGAGGTCAAGTGCATCAAGAAAAAAAGCAAAGAGAAGCATCTTGAAATGGGCGGGGCATGTTAGATACTATAGAGCATTTGATTGGTCAAGAGAAACTGAAATATGAGGTGACGTGAATAAAACCGTTGACCCATTTAGGGGGTAGTGACAAACTATAAGCTTTACATGGCTTTGCGAGCTTTATATCTTCCAAACTGGAATTTTGCCACTGTTTTGTGGCACACTAGCTTATCGATATCTTAAACCATTAATACTGATACTAACATCTAAAAAACTTTAATTCACTGGGACCTTTATATTTTAGTTTGCATTTATTGATATGTATTTTTTATTGCATTGTTTCATGCTTGTTATTACACCTATGGTTAGTCTGTTTTTAAGCTCTGTTTTATTCCTTTCATTCTCATGAACTGGCAATCGCTCCTTTAACAAGCATCGGGACCACCTGATCGACCTTTTTTCCATAAGCTATCATTATTATTTTAATTGCTTATTACTATTTATCATAGTTGTGTCAGTATATTATTCAATGCAAATGTGGGCCAAAAGCAATATTTTCAAGAAGTGCACCTTAATTAAAGGGTTAATCAGACTGTAACTAATAAGTCTCTAACTGTTATTATTAATGCTAAATTAAAGTTAGCATGTCTGGGTAATATACATTTTAGGAGCTTTGACTTCAAAATGACCACTTTACAAGTGTTAAAGTACACAACCGAAAAACTAAATGTAAAGTTTGTAAAATCTAACCATCAAATATGGTATAGTCCATTTTGAGGGATGTAAACAATAACAATGGTCCTAATGTATTTCATGTTTTACATTTTTAATTTTCATAGCTTCAGAGAATCCAAATATGTCATATGTTTTAATGTCAAGTTATGATTAAATTGCCTCTTGTTACAGTTTGGAAAATGGTTTAACAGCAAGCAGGAAATGATCATGA